GTGAAATTCTTTTTTCTTCGCTAAAACTCTAATTTCACGAAGAAAAAGTAACGTAGAGGTCTAATCTATTCTTTGATTCGCTACTACTTCCGCAGTAGACTAGTTTCGCCGAATTTGCAGATCATTGATACTGTATAATAGTGGATAATTAACCGTGACGTCACATGTTATCCAAACACCTAACGTATTTTAGGTTATTTGCGGTGAGTAAAGGCCTTAAATTATCTGTTCCCTCGAAAGGGGTTAATTTTTGTAGAATTTATTTTTTATTATCCATCCACCCCCGATGGCGCGGCGGTATGTATGTCTGCAGAATTACAATGCTAGAAACCGGGTTCCGATATCCATGGTGGGCAGAGCACAGATAGCCCATTATGTAAATTTGTGCTTAACTTCAAACAAACAAACAATATTACCCATCTAAATGATTATTAGTCAGTGTTTGACCTATAGTCCTATACTATACCAGCGTTTCTCTGGCAGACATTTTTGAGAAGTAACTCTATAGACGGTATTATTTTAAGTCTTCACACAAAGCACGGAGAGCTCAAAATTCAGAGATATTACCATCAACTTGAAAAGTTTAAAAGGATTTCACCTCATGAAAAATTTAAAAGTTGCTATAGAGATAGTCAATGGATATAATGAGTAACGTCTTTCCAACAAGTTACAGACACACAGAAATAGGCTTAACTGTTGGTTTCACAAATCATCAACCCAACTTTGGAAGCCAGCAAAGAGTTATGTACGAAGCGAATAAGTAAAGTAAGTCTCGTATAGCGGTGAAAAGTAAGCAACTTCTTTAGTTTTGATGTAGATTTATGTTTTCTAAATCTAATTACAAAACTAATCATAGTTACATCACAAAAGATATTTGAACTTTATAGTATATAATAATTTATGTAGCCTTAAGTTGGTATGTTGCTGCATAACTATGCCCATCCATAGTACTAGAATTGTGACTACTGTGGTATTTTCTGGAACACTGATTTCTCGCAGTGTAGTCAGTTTGGGCTCGAAGGATACCAAGTTACATAATGTGAGTCTTATATTTCTCTCCGAACTCTGACTGAATTCGTGTGAACAAAGACTCGAAACACAGATGGTTCACAACAAAAAGAATGATATTTATTTATAAGAATAATCAAGGTTACGAACAAGGAAAAAAAGCAACTTTTTGTGGTGAGTTTGTTGAACTGGTAAGAGTGGAGAACCTTTAGAATATTCCTCGTAGCAGTTCAGTGTAAGTCCCCCCCCCCTGTAAGCTAGGCTAAACAAAAGTAAAATGTAAAATAAAACAACCCTGATAAATTAATAATGAACTAAAATACAGATTAAATTAAATCCGAGCTTCACAAGCCCAGAAAAGTCTGTAGGAATAACTTAATCTGTATTAAAAGAAAAAATCTCAAAGCTTCTAAGAAAAACTAACTTCACATGAGATTATCTGGCTTTATATACTTAACACAATTAATGAAATTAATTAGTAATTAACCAGATTTGCTCACTACCACAACTTGTACACTGCAATCCGAAGAAAGGGTGTGGCACCCCTTATCCATTACACGATTCACTGTCAGAAAATACAGCTGTCTATCTTATAACATCAAGAACCAATTTTCCTGCAAGAGAACGTGGCTAACTGCCAAATAGTGGATTCGCGTCTCATGTGTATCAGAGAAAGGAAAGTTTAGTTACTTATTTGAACAACTCTGCGAGTCGAAACTAAACTAAAAGAAAACATAGGAGAGGATAGCTAATGCATTGTACAGTCTTTTACCATTTTAATTAACAGGGGAAAGTCCATGAATATAATGAAAGGAGTGTATACCATACTGTTACTCTCATACATATATATACCGCGAATTTAATTATTTCGATCAGCACGATTTAACTGTGTACAGGTGCCTCTATTAAGGTTAAGTCAGTCATTGCATTCTTACTCTTAAACCTCCCCCTAGATCAGTATTCTGTTAACAAGGTAGACAAAATTAATATTTTCTTAACAATGAGAACAAGGTTCCCTTCTGTTCCCCCTCAATTCGAGTACTACTAGAAAGTGAATTTTCCGAGTCACAAATTACTTCTTAGTTTGTGCAAGAATGATATTTTCTTTCAATCTAGATAATGGCAGATTATCATGCACTTCATCAACTTTGTATGTTTTTCTTTAAGGATCTTTAATGTAGAAAGCCTCTCCTTCAGTTAGAGGATTGAGTCAATTCTTTACCTTACGCTCAACATTTCTTGAATCTGTTTGTAGCTCGGTATCTGGAGTATTCTTTTTTTTTTTCATATCTCCAGAAGACCATCAAAAATCACGATTTTCTTTAAAAGAAGCTAATGATTAGTACCTTTAACAGCCTGTATTCTCAACTAGTCATGGTAATCAACCTCTGAATTTCCGTTGTTTGTGATAAAGTTAATCTTCTTTGTCACTGCAAACAGTGCGCTATTTTAACTTTTCACGGACAAACCTGAAGAACGTAATTATGAAATCTTTAAATAAAGATGATATTCCTATCTTTTCCATTTACTGAATTGATTTTTAATACTTAACAAATGTATTTTTAATGTTCTTGTGTTAATATTTCGTGTTGCAGATCGAATGGTCCAAAGTTCGAGACGTGATGGCGCTGAGAACGCTCTGCACTTTCAGCTATGGGCGTTTTATAAAAGTAACAGGAAATACCGTTACTTTGTTTCAAGAGCTGGTCAAAGACCTTGTGGGGTTGAGTGCTGCTGGCTGGCTGCCATCCTTTCAGTCAGTAGTTTACAATTATGAACGTCTACACTTAAACCCAAGTGTTTTTAGTTTGGCCCTTTAGTAATTCGTGTACATAAGCTGAAAATTCTAATTTATCAGTCATAACGAATACAACACATTGTCTGACTACATGTTAGTGCCAATTGAGGTCATGTTTTATATGCAAACTGTGAATAAAGAATTATTGGGCGAGTTCGTAAAACTTTGCTTTATAGTTTCTCCGTGTTTCCTTATTCCACAAAACTAAATCTTCCGCGGTGTTCGATTGTGATAATTACCAAATACTAAATAGAACGCTAAAATAAAAACACTATACAAATGCACTTGTGAGAGAGCGAAAGGAAACCTTATAACTAAAACTTTTTAAAATATTTATAATGACTTGAAACGTTTTCATATTAATAATTTATATCACAAGTTTTGTGTTACTGAACGATAACTTGAATCACAATCATCGATGTTATCTTTTGTGCATCGATTTTATTGATCAGATTCATATTCATAGGTAAATTGATTAGTTTTAGAAGAGTTACAGCTAATTTCAGAATGGTTACACAAGCTTTTCAAAGGGCTATCTCTACGTATAACCGTCCCTAATTTGGAACAGATAGATTTTCGTTCGGTTGTTGTTCAGCACAAAGATACACAACAGGGTATCTGTACTGTGGCCAACGCAAATATTGAAAACGATTTTTAACCTTATAAACCTCCAGACTCACTGCTGAGCCACAGGGGGGCTGACATAATTTTGGAAAGGTTGGTAGAAAACAGCAACAGTGGAGGATTTGACAGGCACATTTAGAGTACACCCACAGCCCCTAAGTATGGGGCGAGTTTTTTGCGGCAACGGACCAGAACCGTGAATCCTTGGGATCATATCCGAGCACACTAACCTTTAGGCCACATCCGACCCTTTGTGTGAATGTTACCTTTATTATCTTTCTTCCACTATATACTGGATCCGTTTTTCAAAACAGGATTCTTCAAATCTTTATTAGTCTTAAAACAAGAAGAAAATAAAAACATTATCGATAATTTTTGTAAGCTCGAGATGTAGGATGCAGTGTCTGATAAATTTAAACGAGGATTCCAGTATTAAAAAAATTAATTATTCTGGCTCTAAAAACTGAAATACTTACAAATGTATTTAACCTCATTTTACATTTTTGATCATTCTACTTTAATTATTATTGTTAGAAATCACAATTGAAACTTATTCTAATTCAAGCTTTCAATTAACTCGTTTGCCGGAGCCTTCTAAACTAGTGGTTCTGAAACGGTTTTGTTCGCGGACCAACTGATTTTTTTATAATTTCGCTGGACCGCGATGGGGATCTATACACCGTGTTGCGCCCCCCAGTGGCACAGCGGTATGTCTGCGGACTTACAACGCTAGAATCGGGTTTCGATACCCGTGGTGGGCAGAGCCCAGATAGCCCATTGTGTAGCTTTATGCGTAATTACAAACAACCAACCACTGTGTTGCCGCTTCCCTTTTGTAATTTTGCAGCTCTTCACGACCCATCTGAAAGGAGCCACAGATTGAAAGATGAAATTCAAGTAGTTTAGCTGTTCGTGATTGCTTCGGCCATTTGATAAGATGGTATCTTCCGACTTTCTTTGAGCCAATCAGGAGTTCAGCGAGCACGAGGACTGTTCGAATTACTACTCCATTGTTATATTCATATAGAAAACGCAAAACAGTCTTAGTTTTGTAACTTCCTGTTTTCACTGATGACATTAATTTTGGCGCACTAAGCAACGTGTCAAGCATGGCACCCAAAATGCCATTAAAAGATCTTGTGAAAATTAAAATTTGTGATAGCATAACTCGAATATTTCATCGCCCTCTATCGAACTACGAGCGATTTACAAAATGTTCGGATACAGGCGGAAGATAACGGCAGAGTTGTTTGTGTTTGTAATATAGGCGGTCAAAGTAAGCCGCTATAGAAACCATCTTGTTGAATGATGAGATCGATAACTACACTATTATATTTTAGCCATTGAAGAAGAAATGGTCCAAACTTACTATTCTATTAATCGATAAAGCAATATTTATGATATAAATACGGGTTCATATCAAAATTAAATATTGTGAGTATGACATCGAAGTTAGTTCTTATATTATCACTTGTGATTGAACAAAATATTTATAAGTATACACTTGTTTGTTAATGAAGAAGAAGAATTACTCCAATGACAAAATAAAGAATAAATCAGCGAGTCTTACCACGTTGATAAACGTGCCAATACTGACTCCAGATCATTACTCTCCCCTCTCTAGAATTTTGCTTACCGATCACAGAGTTAAGACATGTTTCTCAAATAGCGCTCTTTTGGCTAGGCGCGACCTCTAGTGGAACAACTTAAATACTGAAACTAAATTCTGTTTACCTAAAAACAAACAAAAAATTTAATAGAGTAATTTATAAAAACTGTGTTTGTTCAAACGTAAAGCTGCACAATGAGCTATTTGCACTGTGCCCAAGCACAACAGGGATTGAATCCCAATTTTTATAATTTCGAGCTTTCAAATTTACCATAATTTGCTGGATTGGTAATTGTAATTAGTCGTTGTTGTTTTAGCACAATAGGCCATCTACACTTTATCCACAAGAGGGAATCGAATCCCAGATTTTATAATTTCAAGACCTTAAAGTTAAACTTACTACTGACCCACCGGGGGACAAATATAAACAGAATTTACTTATTAAACTTGATTATAGCTTAACTTTTCTGTAAATATGCAATTAATGATACATTCTGATTGTTCTTAAAATTCATTAATGTAACGAAATAAAGTAAACAACATTAAAAATTTCTAGCAGGTATGAGTTTTAGATGTGTTTTATAAGTTTTAACATTTAATGTAAAAATAAACTTTACTATACTCTATATTTAATATATCTTATCAAAATACTTCGAGAGTTGGGTTGTTTGTTTTGAATTTCGCGCAAAGCTACACGAGGGCTGTCTGCGCTAGCCGTCCCTAATTTAGCAGTGTAAGACTAGAGGGAAGGCAGCTAGTCGTCACCTCCCACCGCCAACTCTTAGGCTACTCTTTTACCAACGAATAGTGGGATTGACCATCACATCATAATGCCCCCACGGCTGAAATGGCGAGCATGTTTAGTGTGACAGGGATTCGAACCCGCGATCCTCAGATTGCGAGTCGATACTTCGATGGAAACAAAAACTTTACATACGGTCCATAGATACCAATTACAAGCTAAATGTAGCTTTATTCCAAACAAATTAAATGAAATTGTACAAACACACGAGTTTCCACCTTCACAAACACTTGAGTAAATGGTTCAAACTCAAAAAAGTCTACTTCCATGCAGAGTATTATTTTCCACATGGGATTATATACTGTCAACTAGTTAAAAGTTACAAATGAATAAATTTATACTTTCAAACTCAAATTAAATTAGTATTGAATGTCTTTAACCATTAATTTAAAAATAAAATTAAAACTCAACAGTTTACAAGTAACTGAGAATCACTAATTTCTGCTGGACAAGAAACACGGGACAGAAAATTAGAGTCATTAACAAATACCCTCATTATCAAGTTATAAATATTAATGCTCAATCCTCAGAAATATCAATAATAATATTACTCAGTATCACCAGTTTCTAAATTTCCAGCCACTTAAGTTCAGAACTCTAGTGTACAGTCTACAGTGTTGTAGCTACAATTATGAAACATTTGTTGTTACAAGAATCCACAACTACTACCACTTTACTGAAACCCAAAATATACAAACACACTCATAGTTAAACTCCTATTTACAGAAATAGTGTCAGTAAAGAAATATTTCACACTGAAAAATGTAAAAGCTATTAACAATCATGACTATATGTGGAGGTAGGCTTACCATACAAAACTATTTTAACTTTTTTTTTCTAATTACCTGTACATCAGAAGATAAGTTCTTAGGTTTATAGAAATCTGAAAAGTTAACCAAAGGTTCTAGTGGAAACAAACCTTGTTAAATCTTAGAAATTACATAATACATTTAGTGTTGTAGCAACATAACACGATTATTTCTTTTGCACATTTTTTTTTCAATTTCTTTATCGTAGGCATATTTTAAAGACTGATACACATTCAAAAATGATTAAACACAGATGATAAAATAAATGATCATTTTGAAAAAAATGTTATATAATAAAATAAGAAAGACCTCGTTCATTTTTTTACAATTTATACATAGTGATTTATCAAAATCCATCACTGATACAAGGATTTCACACGCAGTTTCAACAGCAAAGTTTCTTGAACTTTTATAGATACAAGTTTCATCCTTCGCCCCGTAATTGGTTTATTCTTTACTTTAACCATGTATCTTTCGAAATGAAAGTAGGACATACAGAAAAAAAAGCTTTTAAAATCAAAGTTCAAAGTTAAGTTCCTTGGTATCATAATTTATTTTCTGAACTGACCAATACATTTTTATTTCCTTTTTATAATCTATTTTAATAAACACATTTTTAGTGCATTGCAAGTGTGCTAACACTCATTTTATCAACTTAATATTGAAATTCGATGACGAGGAACCCACTTTGAGACTAATAATGCTTGGAGACGGCTTGAATGGGTAATGAAGAAAAACTTTAATTACCCATTCAAGCTGTCTCCAAGCATTATTAACGTAAATATTTAATAAGTCAAGTAATAAGTTAAGATTCTGATTCTTATGTTTCTTCTTGAAATTTATTAATATTATTATTGGATTTCTCTTTTACTAAAGTTCCTCTCCAATGCAGTTTTTGAGTACTTACTCAATTCAAATGGTTTACAATTTTCAAAATATCTTCAAGTGCTTAGTCATTACTAATTACTGTATACTGTTTTCTTCTTAATATCGTCATATATTACTGGTAAAAAAAAAACAATTAAGCAGACATACTGGTAAGGGATGATCATAGTGGTAAACAGACCCTACATACCAACCAAGATTACATTTCTCTTTTTTTTAGGTTGCAAAATAGCTCAAATCAGCCTAAATTTATGAAATTTAGGTCAATGTGAGAGGGCTTTGTACCTGTCCATATTGCCAGACCATTATGTGCATAAGGCTTCATAAAAAATACTCAAAATACCATTCAGTAAAAAAAAACAACTAACAAATCATCTCAGGGTAGCTTAATAATTAAACAAGAAGTAATCCTCAGTTTGTAATTTATAAAATATTATGATGTCTAGAAACAAGTTTTTTGCATTTCAACATCAGACTATTAAATTTTCTCTTGATGTATATTCAAGACATCCTCAAAACCAGGGACTTTCGGGTAAGTTTACCACCTGGAAACATATTCCACTCTGAGTCATCTGTCTTTTCTTCCAGACCTGGTCTGGTTAGAACAGGACATTCAGCAGGAAGAATGACCAAATTGTCATATTTATTTGCCTGTTGAAGATGCGATTGTTTCATCATTTTCAAAAACTCTTCCTCTGTCAAGGGAAACATCCGAGAAGGATAAGGAGAAACATCAGACCCATTACTTTTTGGAGGACGACCCAACCTTCTTTTTCTTGCCCTGACAGATAATTTTCTTTTTCCAATCTGACTGGTTAAAAGTGGATTTTTTACTGGCTTTGTGTCACTAGTAATTACTGAATGTTGACCCAAAGAAGTCATCCAGCTTAGCACTGCCCAATCAGTAGAAGAAGAAAATGGAGTCAAATTATCATTTTGTTTACATAAGAGACTATGATCAGTTATACTGACTTTCGAAATCTCTAAAGATTGACTCTTCTCCATTTTTTCATACTTTTCATGTCTCTGGATGTAAGTTTTGTCTGTTGTATCTTCAAACTGTTAAATTAAAAAAAAAAAAATATATATATATATTAATAAAGATTAAAAATGGTAGGTGTAGTTCTTTGAAAATTAGAAATTAAAACAACAGATATACAAAATATGACATATCAATCATCATACATTAGATTGATCATCGAACAATCAAAAACAAGTATGACGTTCTGAAGGTCTATTAAACCTTTATTTTTTCACATTGCATAAACAAAAAATGCTATATTTTATCAGTACATTTAGATGATTAATTATAAAGAGCAAGTACACCTTAAAATTGGTACTGTTCAACCTAAAGTGGTATATATATCTTTTTTCCTTAATATATTCAATCTTACATACTTATTACAATGTTCTGGTATTCAAGTCCACCAATATACAGTAGATAATTTTAAAAGTATTTGCAGATTCTAGAAAAGTTATGCAGAGAATAAATTGAACAAAGACGGCATGGGAAATACATACAGAGGTAAGAAAGAAAGCAAAACTTTTTTTCATAAACGCTGCAAAACTACACCTACACTATGCAGCCTCCCGGGGGTGTTGTAGTGAGGAGCACAGTCATGAGTAATTTAAATAAACGTCCACACAGAACAAACACAAAGAGCTCTGACTTGCTGCTCAAATTTTGAAAAAAATATTAAAATGAGATATACCAGAATACAGCACTGTATACATTATCATACATTCCAAATAAATCTTACAAGAGGAGAAAAACTCTTAACATATACCAATATGAACAAGTATCTGTGCTACCTCTTGAGCAGGGCTTGCCCCCTCTCAAATGGGATCAGACATAGGGCCAAAGTGATAAGTTTTTAGCCATTGAAATATGCAATCTTTACAACCTTTCAACAAGTCAAAACACTTGTATGTAAATTTGGAAAAATTTAAACTCAATATATCTAACTTAAGATAAATTCAAAAACTAGTTTTGGAAGGGTGAAATTAAAATATATATCAATCATTACAATCTTACTGCATACGTGTATGTAAGACAATTAAAAACTATCATTAAGGATTCTTTAAGGTGCATGAATAACTAAGGAAAAAAAAAAGTTTTCAAAATGATGGTATTTATGTTATTTATCTGTGCAAGTATATTCCTTAAGAGAGTTAAAAAATTTTTCTCAATTATAATATCCAAAATATTTTTAAGTATCTCCAATATTTCTAACTATTATGCCTCAATAAAAGTTTTTTATTCTTTTTCAGTTGAAAGTATAGATTTTCACTGTTTAAATATGGTATATGTATATATACATCAGAAGATTATCATTTAGGTTGTATAATCTGTAAAATCTCTAAATGTGTGAACATACCTAAAATGATTGTTCTTTAGTTTCATTTAACAATTATAAAATGTAATTCAGTATTTTCTCATTCTTCCTAGAGATAGTTCTCTTTCACTGAATACAAAAAAAAAATTTCATATTACTGAAATAATATTTCCAGTTAAAGTGCCTCTCTCTTTTATCATTGAGCATTTACAAAATACAACTTTTTTCTTTTAATCTGTTTCTATATTTTATCAATTAGTTTATTATAGCTATAGTAAATAGAGAACGTTCTATGAAACAGATAAAATATTATTTTTAACATGTACTACTGACCTCTTTTTCGTCTTCACATGTTAATCTTGATTGCAATTCATGTTTTCTATCAAACACACGCTCCTTATGCAATAACTTATCTTCAGTGATACGCCACCTGAAAAAATATTTGTATTATATTACAAAATATAAATAGCATAATAGGTATTAATATTTATATTGTAAAATCAATTTTTTTTTATTTAGATGGTTCGTTTTTATTCTAGAAGAAAATATTCCTTTTGGAACACTGTTGACACCTTGCTCCCCAACCCTCCCAAATATTTATATTGCTGCTGAAAACATTCCTCATACACTGTTACCTATCGTGAAACTGGTAAAACATTTTGTGAGAATAATAAGCTCTCCAAGTATCTTCAAGATTGTGCAAATAAACTACTATCTATCATGAAACTGATAAAACATTTTGTGAGAATAGTAAACTCTGCAAGTGTCTTCACGGTTGAAAAATGAGCATTACCTATGGTAAAACTGGGACAATGTTTGTGATAATAATGAACTCTGTAAGTGTCTCCATGGCTGTGGAATAAAGTGTTGCCTATGGTAAATAAAAACTAAAATAATAAGAATGAGCAATTATGAAATAAGGTATCCTATGATAAGTCTCATTTATATTAACTGTAACCAAGATAAAACAATTAAAAAAAGAGGATGAACTATTTTACTTATATAGAAGTAAAAATAGCAGTGACAACAGTTTGTAACTATAGGTCTATTATTATGCTGAAATAGACAATTCGTTGAGCAAAGAAAATTTGAGCAACAAAATTTTAAAAATTTACAGAAATAAAAATATAAAATATGGGGGTTCAACAAAAAAAAAGGAATAAAAATAAAAATACTTTTCCTGTCCCCCTATAACCGTATAAATTCTCCATCTTGTGTCATAAAAAAAAAATATATATATATAAGAAAATTATTGATAATAAATATAATATGCTCAAAAATGACTATAAAGAACTATATGAATAGTTTTTAGAAACCTATATTAAAAAAAGTGTAAATTATATAACATAATCAAACAGATACTAATATTCAATGTCAATATTTTTCATCACAACTCTTATTTATTTGAATCACTTTTTAAAAATTATAACTTATTTTCATTGCCATACAGCACTTACTTTGGAGTTAATATTTCTTTATACTGGAGCTTTTCTACTCTTGTTGTTGATGCAATACTGTATGGTATAACAATGCTATCAATGTCAAATGCTTTTTCCAGCTTTCTTTTCTTGAAACTTTCCTGAATTTGACTTCCTTCACCACTTGCTGTTAAATAAAAAAAAATGTGTTTTGTGCATTTCATCATATTTTACACTCATAGATTTCTTAAATTTCCCCCCCAAGTGGTTCAGCAGTAAGTATAAAACTTCAAAGATTAGAAACTAGATTTCAATACCAGTGGTGGGCACAGCACAGATAGTCCATTCTGTTTCTCTGTGCTAAGAAACAAACAAAACTTAACTATTTTAATGTACGTTGCCTAAATGTAACGTAACACTTAATACTTGAAATATATCACTGCGGTTACATATTTTTTACATAATATACAAAATATTAAGTTCTATTACTTGTAACTTGTGACCTTATTATAGGAAGACAATTGATGTACAAGACATACTCTGATAATAATGCAACCAGTCACAATGGAATGTTTTAAAGCTAATATTGTTAATAACATTCAAGTCTTTCAGATTTATTTAAATCTTTTAAGACCTCCTGAAGTGTCAGTAATGTTCTGGACTCAAGAAAAAAATCCTTTTCTGTTATGTTCCATTTTTTTTTTGCAAACAAGATTAAACCTGAACATTTAATTTTTTTCTGTTTCAAACAACCACTTAAAAATTTTAGTTACAATAATAATAATAATAAATGATGAAAACCATATTTTTGTCGAGACCTGACAAAGCAGTGAAAAATCACTTCAATATCTAACTTTAAGTCTCAAAATGCTTCTCCATGTAAACATAACAATTCAGCACATAACTAACAATAGCCTTTAGGTTTCTTTAAAAAAACAAAACAAAGAAAACGTACTTAGTCATTAAATTTCTGATATATAACATGATGTTAACGAAGGTACTTACCAACACTTCAATCACACTCTTTTATTAAAATATTAGCTCAGTCTACAAACATGTTTTTGAAGTATTTCAAGAGAAGAACTGGGTCAAATTTAGCTAAAAATTATCCTTCCTACAACAAACAAGTTATGCAGCAAAAATATTTTCACCTTCTCAAACAGTACAAACAAAAACACTTTAGAAATAGTTTTTCTTTACTTATTATTTCCTCAAATTTTTTTACAAGCTAGCACTACACTTTTCTCTCTCACTTTAGTTATCAATTCTCATCAGACCTAATATGCTGTAATGGATACTTACAGTTGTACTTTGAATTTATAATAGTTTTCTTTAGTTAATTTGCTAAAATAAATATATCCCACATTCCCAATTAGCCTCATGTTCCATGGATGGAAAAGCATACAATTTCTATTAGCCGATATCTCTGTATTCCTGCTAGCAAATTAAAGACATTAAAGTTTGAATTTCATGTACCACTTTTGAAAGAATACTATTCATACATTATATATATGTTCATGTTTTACAAACATAGCATTACTTCCATTAAAACCAGACAGTACTTTTTACTAAAATTTGGAGACAGCTTGAATAATTAGTGGATGAAACTTTATTACAAATGTACAACGTTTTGAAAAGCTTTTGTCATGATCACTTGAAACTTTGTATATTTGTAATAAAATTTCTTTCACTACCCATTCAAGATGTCTTCAGACGTTATTTTCTAAAAATCAGGTTCATTATCATCAAACCTGAATATCTCTTCTCTGCATTAACACTTGTAAGTTGTTGTTTCTAATTTGAACTTTCAAAAATAAAAAATGTTGCAGTTATTTTTCTATACTTTAGTTCTTATTAAAAAATCCTAAACAACATTACTAGTACCATTATTTTCCAGCAAAACTGTATTAATAATTATATTGTCTTTGGCATAAATAATAAAATGGTGTCCTCTCTCTCTAGCTGTTTCATTAACTGTTGAGGAAGTAGTCCCGCATTACTGATAAAACAATTCAGTGTCACAAAAAAACAACAACAAATGTTTAAATCCATTTCCTACATTAAAGTATTCAGTAATAATAAAACACTAACCACTTAGACATTCATTAACACTTTGGATGCTATAATCGGATTTATCCGACTCAACATTTACAGCCATTTGGTGCATCAAACGGATTTACCCCACGGTGTCACAAAAACTTTTCCCCTTAGTGCGACAATTTGGATACTCATATGTTCTTGAATTTCTCATCTTCCTACTGTACCTGTATATATCACTGAGTAAAAGTGCAACTAGTGGATTTTGATATTGAAAAAGTCCTAAAAAAGGTCAAATTCTAAATTTCATTTGTTAGTGGATAATTGACACTTCAAGAACCCACCTGAAATTTAATTACGCACTCAAAGAGTTAAATTGAAAAAGTTCCAGTGTATGTGTGTGTGTTCATTTTCTAATACCTGACTAAATGCTATGATTAAAACGGTTTCTATCATAGGCACAAATTTTAAATAAATCCACTTATCACTGAATTTCTCAAACTTCCAATCTTTATAACTTTAAAGACACAAGTACACACACAGATTGGAGAAAAACCATTGAAAGTGTTCTTTCCATGATGATCTTTTTTGAGCTATTAAAGAAAAACGACATAATTAATATTATTTCATTATTAAACTTCTTACTAAAAATATAGTTATTCATCAAAAATATCCACTACTATTATTAAACTTATACAATATTCTTAAATTAGTACAGATTATTCTCACTTTTAAATCAAACGATAGGTGATTACAACAACCTTTTATGTTTACAAAACTTTGTACCTAAATGATAACAGTGACTTAAAATACATTATATTTCACTGTTATACAGCTATAATACAGAATTTTGAACCTTCTAGTTTTCGAGGTAAAAACTGTTTTTCATGTTGAACTGTTGTCACGTAGGTAATGTTTAGCAATTTTTTTACCATTGCAGAAATAGTTTAATTATTGTAATTTGCCTTACAGAAACAATTCTCTTATCTTTATTTTTTTAACTCGCTGTCAGTGCTCCTGAGCATGATGCTTTCACCTTCCTGGGAAATTCATTCAATGTTTTCCTCACTTGTTCAGTTGAAGAATGTTTCCAAGTAACACCTGACATAAATTGGTAGTGCTTTAATTCTAGAAACAATTTTTAACATGTATTTACTAACACTCTATCTCTTTCCTAGAAAGCAGTTTTTAAAATACCGAATAAGAAGCAATTAATATACTAAGTATTACGATATAACTCTGTTTAGAAGATATTTAATTTACTTATATTTAGACAAACTCCAAGAGAGAGAAACAAAAAAAGGATTTGATGTATGATTAAAATAACCAAGTTACAAATGTAAATATATATATATATAGTATTTAATTAAGGAAAGCACCTTAATGTGTACAAGAAATGCATCATATTTTATCATCTGTATTAAAGCAGCATTTTTTAAAAGTAGGATACCCTTCATACCAGCAAAAGATTCATAACTTTATTTATGAATATTAATGACATATATATTTAGAAAATATTTTGTTACCCTTCAATTTCAATCTATACAGTTTAGAAATAAGTATAGAAATGATGAAGAAAAGTGATATAAAAAACAAATACTGAAGGAAAACCATCCTGTTATCAAGTTAAAATGAGCTTCATCAGTGTAAAACCACTCTTTAATAGTTTACACAGTGACTTGTTGTCATTCAACTAATTATAAAATGCCACACTAGTAAAAAGCCTATAATAATAAAAGCAGTTATATTATGCCTAACAGTAGTAATGTGATTCCAGTCATGGCTCCCAGGACTGATATATATAACATGACAAGCAAGTAGATATCAAAGTTTCGGCCAGTCAAGGATACTACATGCAACAAATTATAGAGAGACTATGTTTCAATCGGAACTGAATACAAAAGTCTGAAGAAAGTATGCAAAACTGGCACTGTTAATGAAAAGGAATAACTTTGTGTACCTCAGGGTTTATACTCTACCATATAAATAATGGATGAGTGCAGATGATGCTAAGGGCCTTGTTGTAAATATGGGTAAGGATTTTACCTCAAGAACTAAGACAGATATTAGTAAGATGCGGTCTTGAATATCAATGCTGAGAGGGTGATAAACAAACCAAAAGATCAAAATGGGCATTGAATCACAAAGGTGAAGACGTGCCCTTTACGGCTAAATCCAAGTTCAAACTGGTCAGCAAACATTAAAGGCAGTTTATTCAATGGCAGAGAGAAGAATACTACAGTCAGTGTATAGTATCTACAGTGAAGCACTGTGGAGGATCAGTACAAGAGTTAGGCTGCATATCAGTCAACAGTGTTAATAATAAACACAAAATTGATGCATCTTAACCACTGTCAAGTACAAGCAAGGATTCATTTTCTAACAAGACCAAGCTGGCAAAAGGATATCTTGAAAATAAAGAGGCTGATAAACACACTGTACAAAGTCCTGATATGGACATTCTTCAAGCTGCACAAGGTTATGTAAAAAACTTGAGGTAAAAAGGAAACCAAAAACTTAGCTGTATTGTGGGGAGCAATACAGAATGTTTAAACAATATTCCACAACTGTACACTAATAAGCTATATGCCAGTGTGAAAACAAGATGTAATGCTTTGTGTAAAGCAATTGGCTCAAGTACAAAATACTAAAACGTATGTTTTCTGTCATAATGTTTTAAACTATTAATAAGTTCACCATCTAACTGCCATTGCTTGTTGTCTGTAGCTTCTGTGTGGTTCCATAAATTACTCTATAAACATATATATAACATATACCAGAAACTTTTCTACCTATTAATGTCTTTCTGGCTCTCTTTCCTTTTTTCTTGAGGTTTTCTTCATATCTGGATTTTTCTGATATACTTTGGTCTTGTCTGTTTTTTCTAATTGATTTTCTTTTATATTCTGTAGACAAACAGTACAATGAAGTGTACTTCAAGTCCCAAATTAACAAAGATTACAGTTACTAAAATAGACTTAAAATATATTCATTTCATATTCAGTAAGAACACATAATACTATAGATAAATGTATATGCTATCAGTGAAATGTTGATTCTGTCTCACGGACTTTGGTTTTACGATTAAACATGTTCTCAAACATTGATTTAAATTTCAGGGCACACAACTCTTCATCAATTTTCTTACAAGATAACACATTTATGTAGAAAAACATGTGTTATGAAAGATGCAAACTTGGGAAGGCTTTAAAGACTTTTATTTCTCTTACCGTATACTTTTTCAGCATTTCCTTTAAAAAAATCAATTATCTTGTAAGTCCAACAGTGTATTCTATATCTTATTTGTGCATTTGAACCCTATATTGCATTTTATCACTTTGAACACAGCACTATTTACTACATCTAAAGTTAGCCAAATGAACCACTTACAGCTAAAATCATTTTAATATGTTTTAAGAGCCCCTAGTGGCAGGCACACTTAAGCAGCTTTGTGTTTAAGATCAAGCAAATGATAATTATTTTAATAAACTCTTTAATTATAATCTACTTTTTGCAATAGACAGAAATTCAGAATGATACAGTTATCATGTTAAAATTGGTTAAGGAATTGAAAATTTTTTACTGACAAACTGACTGAGTACAAGTATTACTTACAATAGCAGAAGGCCATGTTTGTTTGTTTTTTTACCAAACATTGATACATGTTTTTAATTTCTCAAATGGCTAACTACATGAAATTTTTCTGATAAATTAGATTTATTCATTGTTACTTTAATAAAAAAGTTCATGAAAAAATGTTTTCACTTTATGAAGTATTATTATTAAAATGAAAGCAATGTTAATCCTACCTTGTAGAAAAGCATGAAAATCACAAATGCTAATTACTGTGAGGAACAAAAAAATTAAAATTTTCTGAAACCAATAGTAATAGTAGTAACTGTTCCCATAGCAACCTATACAATCACACCTAAATCTAATTACCAATTAGTTACTGATATTTTTATTTACAAACTAGATTTAGGTAAGTAATTGTATAAAAAACTGCTAGCCATGGACAGTCAATGCCACTACCTCATTGTAAGCATTCAGCAATAGCACTGTTACAAAACACTTCATTGATGTGCTCACAGTCACCAACATTTTAATATACTAAACTTTTATTGAATTTCAGATACAATCCACGAAAAATATATATTAATATTTTTTCTTTTTCTCAAACATTAAACTTGAATAGCTACTAAATATTCAAATCAAGAAGGCGGTTCATTGGTCAACAGAACCTATACTTAATGATATTAGAAAAAAGAAAACATACTTGTAGAGACCACTAATGTCTGTGCTGCACTGTTCTTATGCTTTCTCCCAGGGGAAGTTGGTAGTGGTGTTCGAGAAGTATTTTTCCTGCACAAAGATAATTGAGATGATAATAAGGCCCTGTGCACGAACTTTGCTTTGAGATTTGTACTGAATTCTGAGTGCTCTAGAAAGGTTATGCATAGAGTCAGTATATTTACTACACTCTTCAGTTTTCATAAATTAATACATCTATAAATGAGCTTTCTGGTTTAATAACAAAACATGGTGATCAACTGAGTTGAGTAGTAAGTGACAATACCAAGAACTTAGACATTTTGGAAAAAATAATTAGAAAAAAAATGGCCTTTACTCTCCAGATAATAATAAAACACTGGTTTTGTACTACCACTACTAGCCCTGATAAAGCCACAATGGCAAAACGTTGGCTGAAGTAAAAAACTTTTTCTTTTGTTATGTGAAGAGCAAAGGTAATTCTTGTCTAAGTTTATTGAATATCCCAAGGGTTGTTCCGATAGGCAATGATCTCTCACGTGGAGGCCAGCTGTCTCACCAAAGGTATAACAGAGTTCATTTATTGATATCACCAGTGGTATTCTAGCTGTGTAATTTTCTATTGGTTCCTTATCTTTAGCTTTTCTTAGCTACACCATACATTACTTTATTTACCAGCAGTCTGATTCTCTCTGAATTTCATCTAAGACCTTCCATGGTTGCTGGGTTTGGTACAGGGGTTTCACTTATGAGGTTTCTGCTTGATTGTTTAGTTGTGGCTGTGCATGTCCTGGTACATACAACCACTTGACCATCCATTTGGGGACCAATCACTCTAAATTTTGTACAATTCTGCTGTCAAGTCAGTCACAGGGTTATGATGGTGGCACTATCTGTCGTTCATTGCTTTCAGCAATCCAGAGATCTTGCTTTATTGGTTCCAGTTCCATCCTTGTGCTGCTTGTGGAAAGGTTGAATGCTCCACAAGCTTTATAGAGAATGTTGTTACTCCACAAGAGTTGATGACTGCCCAACAAATTCTCTCGCTATCTGTGGCTATAATGACAGGTGATTGTCCACCATAGTCTTCAAACAGGTGCTGACAGGAGCTTTCTGCTTCACCCTCTGCTTACTCTCTACATCTTCTGTCTAGGATGATTTCCACAGATTCCAGTGGTGCCAGATGTTTATTCCACAAGGGGGCATCTGAGATATGGTGGTGACGAATTATCTCAGTGTTGGATGTATAGCCCCTATCTACACATGACAGTATTTTGATGCACCTTTTAGGCAATCCCTTGCTTGGATGGTGTCTATGGGAACCATCGTAGAAAATTTTGCTTGTAAGCACTGTTGGTGCTCTGCAATGCTGCTGAGGTTTGTGAGGTGTAATAGAGCCTTTATGGAGGTGGCTGAATTAACATCAACTGACTAATCTTAAACAGATATTTTATAGTTTTTCAGTCTTATATAGTTGTATAGCACTCATACGATTCATTTGTAGTGCATAATCCAAGAAAAAGCAGATAAGACTTTGGTAGAGCATAAATAGTGGATGTTCTTCAGCTCCATTTCCTGCTGCAATTTTCAGTGCATTGATGCCTTTGGTTGCTCTAGTTTTCATGGCATTAATGTAGCTGATGAAGCTGTATTATCTATTAAATGTTACCCCTCAGTACTTCATTGCTTCTTCCAGAGAGATGGCAGTGCCTGCAAAGGATGGTGACGATTTTTCTTCATAAGCATGTATGTTGTTGAGTCTGCAGAACATAGCTGTGGCTCTGTCAGGAATGATGGCCATCCCTGCATCATTTACTCATCTTGCTAGAGCTCTGCTGCACACTAGAATGTCATCAGCATCTAGGCAGCTAGGTCTGTGGTGCAGATGTTGAAGAGGACTAGTAAATAGTGTTGATCCTTGAGACAGACCATTATTGTTTGTGATACAATCTGACTATCAGCTTCCATACTTTATGATCATTTTCTGATAGTCTATATAGCTACAACCATTCTTATACATGTTACGGTGATGCCTATTCTGAGTATTTTGTATGCAAAAAATGAGCAGCTGGACCCTGCTGTAGGCGTCTTCCAAACCCAAAGTACTGCTAAGGTGTTTTGACAAGCTTCAAAGCCTTCCCAGATATCAGCTGTGAATTCAGCAGAATTAAATCAGGTTTCATTTTTCCCCATGATAACCATCTAATGATGAGAATAGCAGTGATTCAATTTGATAGTTAAGCCTTCTAACTACAGCCTTCTCTGGGACCTTGCCAAAGATGTTTTATAGGGTATTAATTAAAATATCAAATGAAATGAGCCAAGTAAAATTAATTCACACGCATAAGAGGTAAAGAAACAGAAGACAGTGAAAGTCCAGTCAACTTATGGACAGATAGCAGATCCAGTTTCTAATTTTTGACAGGCATAAAGTGAAGGAAGATCCAAATGGAAATTCAAGGCAGACTAGAATGATAAAATACCAACTGTACTTCTATTCTTGTTCACTTTACATCTATGTGAAAACATTTGAAATGTGCAAAAAGAAAATAAATTTATCATGTTTTTGTTTTCTTTCAAACAAACACTCTTCAACATGGACATGAAAACTGTTGTTTAAGACTCATAATGTAGGTAAATTAATACGTAGAATTATACATGGACTTTTCTACATATATATTAAAATATTTTTATTTGCGAGCTTTCGGCCCTCTTACCAGAGTCTTCATTGGGCAACAATGCTCCGGTAAGAGGGCTAAAAGCTCGCAAATAAAAGTATTTTAACATTTCAATTTTAGAATGTTCTTACAATGAGATGTGACTTTAATTACAGGCATCTCCAATTACATGACAAAATAATACGTTAATGTATAAGAGGCTTTTCTGTCAAAGATCAAGATATTTTGAGTCAATAATATCAGCTGGCACTAACATACAAACAACAATGCAAATATCAAATCAGAAACCTCCTAAGCACTATTTGTAGTACAACCGACACAATCTTAGTGATACAAGCTCCTGTGTTTCTACGTGAAAAAAAAATCATTTCAAGAAGGAATTCATTATAAATCATCACATTTAGACTCAAAGATAACCATTCAATGAAATCTTATGAGTTCCTGAAAATAAAATTAAGCCCATTTTCAAACTCAGTTTTTATGTCTCCACAGAGAGACATATTGTTTTTCTATTTTTTCTTCTTATTCTTACAGACACTTTTCAATCGACCACCATTTCTTCATTTCTAAACAGATCGTCTTGAAACTTAGTAGGGTTATACGTTTGTCCAATATGCTCAGATACCTACTTCATTTTATTGATTTAGACCTTCTTAAGGATTTTATGGGGTCAAAGATCAAACAACCCAAAAAAGTATATCTTGGGTTCCTGTAGTCATATTTACAAAAATCAAGATAAAAATTGGCACAAATATAAATTTTTCATTTGCCCAACACATTGACATACAAAAAAGTTGGATGTACCCATCTTGGGTCTTTCTAGAGGGGGATCAGAGGATTTTTTGTCAATTACTCAGGTGTATTTTGATTAAATTACATGAGATTTAATACAAAGGTACTTTTCTATAGATCCCACATACTGACAAACTAAAATGGTGGACTTGCCCATTTTTAGTAATTATAGGCGGGGGGGTTCAAGAGACCACAATTTTTCAACAATTACATCACTGTATTTCAGCCCATTTATATGGGAGTTGGTGCAAATATGCTTTTTTACAAGCCCCATACATATACATACAAAAATATGGGGTATGCCCATTTATGGTCATTTTAGGAGAAGTCAAAAGGTTAAATAAACCCATAGCTTTATGGGGTTTTGGTCAATTACTTAGCCTTGTTTTGACCAATTTACATAGAATTTGGTACAAAGATACTTTTATACAGACAACACATGTTGAAAAACAAAAATACTAGACTTGTCCATTTTAAGTAATTATAGGGAGTCAAGTTCCCACAAGAAGCATAGCTTTAGGGTTTTTTGACAATTACTCTGTATTTCAGCCCATTTACGTGGGATTTGGTACAAAGATACTTTTTCACAGGTTCCAAACAGAGATACAGACAATTTTGAAATTTTTGTCTTTTGCTCAATTTTTCAGTGAGAAAAACCACAATTTGGGGTTTTTGTGAACTATTCACGTGCATGTCAACCAACTTACATGAGATTTGGTACAAAAATACCTTCTTGCAAGTCCCAAGTGGTGATATAGACAGTTTTTGATTTTTCTATGTTTTTCATGAATTTTTCTGGTGTCAAAATTGGCCTTGTTGAGATTGTGTGGCAGAGAAACGTTGCAAATTGCCCGCATGTGTTGATCATTTTTAATAGCTTTGCAAATTAACAGTATTAAACTGATACATTATTCATGCAGAGAGGTGGGTAAACAATATAAACATCTTCATAATAAGATCATTATCGTCAATCAAGAAACAACAATGTTCTTTGGAATAGACTTCACATATGACATAGCTGTAAAATTCTTAAACATAAATATGCAAATAACATTTCCCACATATGGTATGATAAGTTTTGAAACTATTTATACTACCTACCAGTAATTTGTTTTAGGTGCATTACTTGGCTTGGTTTTAGCACACAACTTTTGTTGTCTTCTTTTACAGGATGAAATTCCCAGTTTAATGGGCTTCTGGATATCTGTAATAGAAAAATACCAACTTGTTCATGTCCTTTTTTAATCTAAACTTATAAGAACCTAACATTATACTAGTTTTTAAAAGATTTTTAAAGATATTAATTTTTTTTCTTCTCAGTAACTCCTAAAAATAATTTAAATCAAAGTTGTTAAAATCAAAGAACAAAATTTATATTTGAAACAACACACAACCATAACACATCGTTTTATTCAGTTTTTATTCAAATTAAGCCTATTTAAATTTAATGATTGTAAATTGAAATTCAAATCAATTAAAGAACAGGCACAGCCCTCACAGAAAAATGTTTAGACACAGCACTATTTTCTCATAATTAAAAAAAAGTACCAAGTGGTTGTTCTTTTTAGCACAAAGCTACACAAAAAGCTATTTGTGTTTTGTTCGCCAGGAGGGAACGAACCCTGGATTTCAACTTTGTAAGTATATAAACTTATCGCGGACCTAGTGGGGAACATTATCAATGGAATAAAAAAAGGAGTTTATTTCCTTTTTATACCAAGCGACAGCATCAGCTATTAAAGATGGTGCCCAATTCGTTTCAATAATATTTCTTATGCCTTTAAATAAATTATTTGTAATTTGTTTGCCCTCCCAAATTAATAATTTTTTGTTGTCTGGCGAGGATGAGAGCATTATAAAATGACTAAGTGATTTATAATAAACTGTTACTATACGTACTGATGTACGTACGTATTATATAATCATGTACACACACGTTCGTTAGAGCCCACAAAACTGTGTACTTGTGTGTAGGTCACCAACACCAGGTGTCCTTCCCATAGGCCTACTTTTCGACAATATAGTTTTGTTTCCAGCTGTATAACTAAGGCTGAACAAAACCATTTCGAAGTTTTTAAATGTTTTTGAGCAGTATATAAGCTGCAATAATAAAATCCACAGAATCGACGGCTATTACATTTGTGAAGCGAAAGCCACTACACTTGACCTATTAATGTGATTTTTAATTCAAGTGGTCGTCAGCTTTAAACAGCGAGCTTTTATAAATGAAACCAAACATTCACTTGTTAGCAGCAAAAAATTGGTTTCATTTTTGTTACATATAACTGTCCGCCGAAAGCTCATGCGTTGAATATACTTTTATTGTTTATATCCTTTGGATTTAAATACCAACAGAATTAGATCTTGATTTAAAATATCATGATTCTGAATGACTCGTGAGAAATGATATTTCACGAGAAACGAACTTTATGTTGGTACGTTTAATAATGCTACACACATTGGTGATTTTCTAATAACTTCAAGACGCCCCCAGTGGTTCAGCGATAAGTTTGTTTGTTTTTAAGCACAAAAGTACACAATGGGCTGTCTGTGCTGTTCCCGCCATCACTTTCGGATTAGCCTATTATCATAAGTAGCAAATGCTACAGACCCCGCACCCATAAGAAAAAACAATTAACGCATTTCAATATGATTGTTAAAAAATAAAAATGCCAAAGAAATCCATTTGTGTCATGTCATATTCATCCAGGGCTTCGGAGCGCTCCTTTATGCTCCGGAGCTTTTTTTTTTTAAATCGAATGCGTTTTTCCGCTCTGCTCCGGAGCCCTGATATCCACTCGTGGTCTAACAAAAAATTACAGATACAGCGTAAGTGAACGAACATGTTTTGTGTTAATCATTGTCACTGTGCACGAACATTTAAATACGTGACTTGTCTTGCGTATGATATTCCGAGGGTGTCAGTTATGCTGAATACGACGATTTAATCTGGCTAAAAATTTTCGGGATATATTTATTCGAAAAACTGATGCAAAAACGAAGTACACGATGTGATTCAATTAAAAAAATTGTACTAAATCTACAACGTTATTATGGGTTTGACTAAAATGTGTTTTAAATTTATCATAATGACCTTTAAATAATAGTGCATAAAGCAATTTTACGATAAATTAAGATAAATTAAAATCATATTTTTTACTTTTGCTTAATAAAATTATTATTATTATGTATTAAAATCTTGAAAATATTTTCTCAAATATATATTTAAAAGGAAATAAGATAATTAATAGAAATTTTTAATAAGTAATGAACTAGCTACCTTACAACATTCTTAGTTGTATTAGTTTGTTTGTTTGTTTTTGAATTTCGCGCAAAGCTACACGAGGGCTATCTGCGCTAGCCATCCCTAATTTAGCAGTGTAAGACTAGAGGGAAGGCAGCTAGTCATCACCACCCACCGCCAACTCTTGGGCTACTCTTTTACCAACGAATAGTGGGATTGGCCGTCACATTATATCGCCCCCACGGCTGAAAGGGCGAGCATGTTTGGTGTGACGGGGACTCGAACCCGCGACCCGCAGATTGCGAGTCGAGTGCAGTTGTATTAGTATAATAATGTTATGTAATTTAAAATTTTCATGTTTTATTTTATAAGGAAATATATTATTATTATTATTATTATAAGAGTTGTTTAATTATATATATATATATATATCAGTCATATTTACTTAAAATAATTTTAATTAAAATCGAATACTGTACCAGTCATAATAAAGAAGTTTGAAAAATGAAAATGATGATAAAGAAAATATTTTCTGGCAGATATGGGCCCGTTTTCTAAAACTACTACGGGTCCCACAGACTCTGAATCCGGCACTGCCCGCCACGAGTATCGAAACCCGGTTCTTAACGATATGAACCAATGGGAAGTAAGTCTACGGACTTATAATGCTAAACATTAGGTTTCGATACCCGTGGTGGGCATAGCACAGATAGCTGCCCATTGTGTAACTTTGGGATTAACAAGAAACAAACTCCGAGTCTTGGGATTATAAAGCCATAATTTGCGTTATGTATCTTAGCACACTATATGATGCTCAAATTATAGCGTACTGGTGTTTTTAATTAACAAGCTGCATTTTTTAGTCGTTATAACAATAAAAATAGCGCATAACCCTTGTCTTGGTTTGTGGTCTCTTGTGAACATACAGAAGATATACAAACATACATATCTATAACAACAAGGAACCTGTTGGTCTATCTAGGCTGTCCCATGCACTAAATTCAATTTTAAAATAAAATACTCAAAGCCAGCCTTTATCATTCAAATATTTATGAAGCCTTCCCTTAAATTAACTGCATCCACCCCATCTGAAGGCAACCCATTCCAAAGCCAACCAACCTAAGATGACTCCTACCATATCAAAATT